GTGTGTGTGTGTGTGTGTGTGTGTGTGTGTGTGTGTGTGTGTGTGTGTGTGTGTGTGTGTGTGTAGCGACTCAAGCGAGGGTTACTCCTACCTAGGGCTGAACCATTTGGGAAAATAATCGAATTGCGATCTTTTTAACCAATACTGCGATTTAATATGTGACTAAATATGTATTTAAGCTCTTTATCTTCTGTATTATTCAACAAAGACAAGCAATAAATAGGCTGTCTGAACGCTTCCGTTCGAGAGCTGCGAGTGATTCTTCTCTCTCAGTTCAGATACGATAAGCTGCATTCACAGTCACACTAATGCACAGATCTCTTTTGAAATATAAGATGTGGTTTGTCCTGTCTGTTTAATCCCTTAAGATATAACTGACTGTGTTTACATTAACTTTGCGTCATAAAAGCGTTTTGAGATGCAAGTAACTTTAACCACGTAGATGTAGACACACGGCGCGAGAGCTCTCCACAAAGCGCGCGTGAGTATCTGAAATAGAAAGCAGCCTTCTGTCAGCGAGTTTCATATTTTTAATATATAAGCTCACTGCTTTCTAAAGGACATAAATGACGCCTTCGTGGAGCATTAGTAAAGGAAATCCCGGCGGGCGAGACCGCGAACTACAAGCGTAACATCAAGCAAAGCGGCGCATCTCCTGTACAATGAAGCCCGCGAATGTCCCTGTAACTCGCTTCAACCTTCCGGAACTTTATGAAAGATTATTTTACGGAAGATTCGAGTGGTGTGCGTGAGGAATTGAAAGCAAGCAGAATACGGGTGTTTCTACAGCACTCGCAGCGTCATCACGTATCTGTGTTTAAAAACTAAGCTCAGACTCGATCCTGAATCTATAACACAATATCACATATATCAAACACAAACTGTTGCTTCCCGCTGGCCGGGCCCATGCGTGACGTGCCGAGGGCACTCTTCCTCTGCAGAATGCTTTCAGCCTATCGCGATACTATCGCAAATGCAATGAATGTTTGGCCTGCTCGTACCGTTCCCAGCCGCACGAGTCTCCCCGAGGCGCTGGTGCCGGGCCGGGCCGAGCTGGCGGTGCGAGGGGTTCTGATGGCCTGCTCCATCGTCTCGGGTCTGCCCGTCAGTGTGCTGGGTCTCACGAACCCTGTGATGGGCCGGCCCGACTGAGTCATGGGTCTGCGCACATTACACAGGTGAGGCACAGGTCAGCTTATGCCAAACACAACATTACAGGGATACTTCACCCAAAAATGAAAATTCTGTCAGTAATTACTCACCCTCATGTTGTTCCAACCTTCCAATCTTCGGGACACAAATTAAGATATTTTTGATGAAATCTGAGAGCTGTCTCACTCCTTCATAGGCTTCTAGGTGATTTCATTCTGCCGGCCCAGAAAAGTTAGTAAAGACATCGTTAAAATAGTCCAAGTGTCTACAGTGGCTCAACCTTAAGTTTATCAAGAGACGAGAATACTTTCTGTGCGCAAAACCCCCCACAAATAACGACTATTCAACTCTTCATGTTCTCCTGTGTGGGCCTCCAGTTCACGAGAGCCACGACACACACACACACACACACATACACACACACACACACACAGAGAGATGCGCAAGAACCGAGAAGATGACACAGATGGGTCTCGATGTTTAAAATGGTTCTAAAGTGAGCATTTCCTGAATGTCCGAATCGTGAGAAACCAACGAGAAAACGTTAAAGTGCCTCACCGATGTCGCACAATGAATGTCTTACCTTTCACACTTTCCCATCAAATGATCGTGAGTGTCATCTTCTCAGTTCTCGCGCATGCGTCGTGGCTCTGTGTGTGTGTGTGTGTGTGTCATGGCTCTCGTGAACTCACTCTGAGTCCCACACAGAAGAAAATGAAGAGTTGAATAAAGACGTTATTTTTGTTGTTTTTTTGCGCACAGAAAGTATTCTCGTTGCTTGATAAACGTAAGGTTGAGCCACTGTAGTCACTTGGACTATTTTAACAATGTCTTTACTAACTTTCTGGGCCGGCAAGTTTCAATTACATAGAAGCCTATGGAGGAGTGATCCAGCTCTCAGATTTCATCAAAAATATCTTAATTTGTGTTGCGAAGATGAAAAAAAGTCTTACGGGGTTGGAACAAAATGAGGGAGAGTAATTACTGACAGAGTTTACATTTTTGGGTGAACTAACCCTTTAACCACAACAAGATCAAACATCATGATACTTCTGTGAGGTTATGTCAACCACAAGAATAGCAAGAACAACATCAAACATCATATTACAATATGCTACGAATAAACAGCGAATAAAGAGTGAATTTTTATTCAATTATGAACATTTAAAAGCTTCTGCTAGAACCAATGAGGTTTATTCTCACAGATCAAGCACACTTCTGTTTATGTTTGCTGATCAATGTTTTTATGTGAATAAAAGCCTAAATTCAATCTGTTCGTCATATAAAGTGATCGAGTCTCTTCAGAAAATTAGGACTAATTTTCTGAACACACGCGGCCACACACGGCCACAGGCGAACACACGCGGACACAGGCGGACACAGGCAGACACACAGGCAGACACAGGCGGACACACAGGCGGACACACAGGCGGACACACAGGCGGACACACGCGGACACAGGCGGACACAGGCGGACACAGGCGGACACACAGGCAGACACACGCGAACACACGCGAACACACGCGGACACACAGGCGGACACACAGGCGGACACACAAGCGAACACGCGCGGACACGCGCGGACACACAGGCAGACACAGGCGGACACACGCGAACACACGCGGACACAGGCGGACACACAGGCGGACACAGGCGAACACACGCGGACACAGGCGGACACACAGGCGGACACACAGGCGGACACAGGCGGACACACATGCGAACACACGCGGCCACAGGCGGACACACAGGCGGACACACAGACGGACACAGGCGGACACACAGGCGGACACAGGCGAACACACGCGGACACACAGGCGGCCACACAGGCGGACACACAGGCGGACACACAGGCGGACACACAGGCGGACACACAGGCGGACACAGGCGGACACAGGCGGACACACGCGGCCACAGGCGGACACACAGGCGGACACAGGCGAACACACAGACGGACACACAGGCGGACACACAGGCGGACACACAGACGGACACACAGGCGGACACACAGACGGACACACAGACGGACACACAGGCGGCCACACAGGCGGACACAGGCGGACACAGGCGAACACACGCGGACACAGACGGACACACAGACGGACACACAGGCGGACACACAGACGGACACACAGGCGGACACACAGGCGGACACACAGGCGGACACACAGGCGGACACACAGGCGGACACACAGGCGGACACAGGCGAACACACGCGGACACAGGCGGACACACAGGCGGACACACAGGCGGACACAGGCGAACACACGCGGACACAGGCGGACACACATGCGAACACACGCGGCCACAGGCGGACACACAGGCGGACACACAGACGGACACACAGACGGACACACAGGCGGACACACAGACGGACACACAAGCGGACACACAGGCGGACACACAGGCGGACACACAGGCGGACACAGGCGGACACAGGCGGACACACATGCGAACACACGCGGCCACAGGCGGACACACAGGCGGACACACAGACGGACACACAGGCACACACAGGCGAACACACGTGGACACAGCCGGACTCACAGGCGGACACACAGGCGGACACACAGGCAAACATACGCGGACTCACAGGCGGACACACAGGCGGACACACAGGCGGACACACAGGCGAACACATGCGGACACACAGGCGGACACATGCGGACACACAGGCGGACACACGCGGACACACAGGCGAACACATGCGGACACACAGGCGAACACAGGCGGACACACAGGCGGACACACGCGGACACACAGGCGAACACATGCGGACACACAGGCGGACACACGCGGACACACAGGCGAACACATGCGGACACACATGCGAACACACGCGGCCACACAGACGGACACACAGACGGACACACAGGCACACACAGGCGAACACACGTGGACACAGCCGGACTCACAGGCGGACACACAGGCAAACATACGCGGACACACGCGGACACACAGGCGAACACATGCGGACACACAGGCGGCCACACAGGCGGACACACGCGCACACAGGCGAACACACGCGGACACAGGCGGACACACATGCGAACACGCGCGGACACAGGCGAACACACGCGGCCACAGGCGGACACACACGGACGGACACACAGGCGGACACACTTGGAACCAGCCGGACTCACAGGCGGACACACAGGCAAACATACGCGGACTCACAGGCGGACACACAGGCGATTACATGCGGACACACAGGCGGACACACAGGCGGACACACAGGCGGACACACAGGCGGACACACAGGCACACACAGGCGAACACACGTGGACACAGCCGGACTCACAGGCGGACACACAGGCGGACACACAGGCGGACACAGGCGGACACACAGGCGGACACAGGCGGACACACAGGCGGACACACAGGCGGACACACATGCGGACACACAGGCGGACACACAGGCGGACACACAGGCGGACAAAGGCGGACACAGGCGGACACACAGGCGGACACACACGCGGACACACAGGCGGACACACGCGGAGACAGGCGGACATAGGCGGACACACAGTCGGACACACAGTCGGACACACAGGCGGACACACGCGGACACACAGGCGGACACAGGCGGACATAGGCGGACACACAGTCGGACACACAGGCGGACACATTAGTGACGTTTGCAATGATAAGAAGATCAGTGTGGAGACACAGATACGCCTCACACCATCAGATTCAAGATTTCAGTGTAGCTTTAAACAGCAGAGGTCAGAGGTCAGAGGTCACCTGACAGCTGGAGTGGGTGCTCCGCCCTGGCTCGTTCCCAGAAGTCTCAGCGATGTTCCTGGACCTGACAAAACCAAGCAAGAGGGAGATCGTCAGTTCCTGCAGGTGTAATGCCCTGAACATCTGTGTCAGGCGCTTACAGACAGTAGGGGGCGCTGTCACACAACTTCTGAGAGAGTACACAATCTCCTGATCAAAACACAGGAGAATCAGCAGGAACAAGCGGTAGAAGCATTGCTGACGCACGTTATAGTCTTTTGACGAAAAAGCTATTTTCTCCGCGTTTTGTTCAAAATGTTGCTTTTTTTAATGAATCTTACCCATATTCAAGTGTTGATGAAAAAGAATGCATGAAGCTAGAATAAAACGGGTGTTTGGTTTAAAAGCAGAGGCTCTGATCTTTCTTTGGATATATTGCTTATTCAGATATTCAAACAACAAAATATTCTAAAGGCCAAACTTTTTGTGAAAATTATCAAAAATGCTGCTGGTGCAGGACACTTTCTTATAAAACGCTGACGAGGAAAGAAGTGCAGTTCCTGTAAAGGCCTAAAGATGTTGAAAGACAACACTGAATGTGTGTTGATGTGTGTGTGCATGACTTTACTCACGTGCCACCTGGGCGATGGAGCTCTCGTCCAACATCATCTCAGCGATGCCCTCCTGATCCACCTCCACCTCATCCACGAACACCATCTCCGTCAGAGCCCGAGTCTTCAAGCTCCACGCCGCCTAAAACATCATCATCATCATCATACTCTTTATCATCATCATCACAACCCTCATCATCACCATCCAGAACACCACATCCGTAGTGACATGAGTGCACAGTAGTAAACGCTACGGCGATCGAGACTCAGGGTTTATGAGCTATACTGGGACCAGCCACCGGGGGGCGATCAAGACTCTGGGTTTATGAGCTATACTGGGACCAGCCACCGGGGGGGGGGGGGCGACCGAGACTCTGGGTTTATAAGCTATACTGGGACCAGCCACCGGGGGGCGATCGAGACTCTGGGTTTATGAGCTATACTGGGACCAGCCACCGGGGGGCGATCGAGACTCTGGGTTTATGAGCTATACTGGGACCAGCCACCGGGGGGCGATCGAGACTCTGGGTTTATGAGCTATACTGGGACCAGCCACCGGGGGGCGATCGAGACTCTGGGTTTATGAGCTATACTGGGACCAGCCACCGGGGGGGGGCGACCGAGACTCTGGGTTTATGAGCTATACTGGGACCATTCACCGGGGGGCGATCGAGACTCTGGGTTTAAGAGCTATACTGGGACCAGCCACCGGGGGGCGATCGAGACTCTGGGTTTATGAGCTATACTGGGACCAGCCACCGGGGGGCGATCGAGACTCAGGGTTTATGAGCTATACTGGGACCAGCCACCGGGGGGCGATCGAGACTCTGGGTTTATGAGCTATACTGGGACCAGCCACCTGGGGGCGATCAAGACTCTGGGCTTATGAGCTATACTGGGACCAGCCACCCGGGGGCGATCGAGACTCTGGGTTTATGGCCTATACTGGGACCAGCCACCGGGGGGCGATCGAGACTCAGGGTTTATGACCTATACTGGGACCAGCCACCGGGGGGCGATCGAGACTCTGGGTATATGGCCTATACTGGGACCAGCCACCGGGGGGCGATCGAGACTCAGGGTTTATGACCTATACTGGGACCAGCCACCGGGGGGCGATCGAGACTCTGGGTTTATGACCTATACTGGGACCAGCCACCGGGGGGCGATCGAGACTCAGGGTTTATGAGCTATAAACGGGACCAGCCACCGGGGGGCGATCGAGACTCTGGGTTTATGGCCTATACTGGGACCAGCCACCAGGGGGCGATCCAGACTCTGGGTTTATGACCTGTACTGGGACCAGCCACCGGGGGGCGATCGAGACTCTGGGTTTATGGCCTATACTGGGACCAGCCACCGGGGGGTGATCGAGACTCAGGGTTTATGACCTATACTGGGACCAGCCACCGGGGGGCGATCGAGACTCTGGGTTTATGGCCTATACTGGGACCAGCCACCGGGGGGCGATCGAGACTCTGGGTTTATGACCTATACTGGGACCAGCCACCGGGGGGCGATCGAGACTCTGGGTTTATGAGCTATACTGGGACCATCCACCGGGGGGCGATCGAGACTCTGGGTTTATGAGCTGTACTGGGACCAGCCACCGGGGGGCGATCGAGACTCTGGGTTTATGAGCTATACTGGGACCAGCCACCGGGGGGCGATCGAGACTCTGGGTTTATGAGCTATACTGGGACCAGCCACCGGGGGGCAATCGAGACTCAGGGTTCATCATCATCTATAAACCATCACAACCCTCATCATCATCATCTTCATCATCTATAAACCATCATAACCCTCATCATCATCATCATCATCATCTATAAACCATCACAACCCTAATCATCATCATCATCTATAAACCATCACAACCCTCATCATCATTATCTTCATCATCATCATCTATAAACCATCACAACCCACATCATCATCATCTATAAACCATCACAACCCTCATCATCATCATCATCATCATCATCTATAAACCATCACAACCCTCATCATCATCTTCTTCATCATCTATAAACCATCACAACCCTCATCATCATCTTCTTCATCATCTATAAACCATCACAACCCTCATCATCATCATCATCATCATCTTTAAACCATCACAACCCTCATCATCTTCATCATCATCATCTATAAACCAGCATAACCCTCATCATGGGTGAGTGATGTAGATGAGTGATGTAGATGAGTGATGTAGATGAGTGATGTAGATGAGTGATGTAGATGAGTGATGAGTGATGAGTGATGTAGATGAGTGATGTAGATGAGTGATGTAGATGAGTGATGTAGATGAGTGATGTAGATGAGTGATGAGTGATGTAGATGAGTGATGTAGATGAGTGATGTAGATGAGTGATGTAGATGAGTGATGTAGATGAGTGTTGTAGGTGAGTGATGTAGGTGAGTGATGTAGATGAGTGATGTAGATGAGTGATGTAGGTGAGTGATGTAGGTGAGTGATGTAGGTGAGTGATGTAGATGAGTGATGTAGGTGAGTGATGTAGATGAGTGATGTAGGTGAGTGATGTAGATGAGTGATGTAGATGAGTGATGTAGATGAGTGATGTAGGTGAGTGATGTAGATGAGTGATGTAGGTGAGTGATGTAGATGAGTGATGAGTGATGTAGATGAGTGATGTAGATGAGTGATGTAGATGAGTGATGTAGATGAGTGATGAGTGATGTAGATGAGTGATGACTGATGTAGATGAGTGATGTAGATGAGTGATGTAGATGAGTGATGTAGATGAGTGATGTAGGTGAGTGATGTAGATGAGTGATGTAGGTGAGTAATGTAGGTGAGTAATGTAGATGAGTGATGTAGGTGAGTGATGTAGATGAGTGATGTAGGTGAGTGATGTAGATGAGTGATGTAGATGAGTGATGTAGATGAGTGATGTAGATGAGTGATGTAGATGAGTGATGTAGATGAGTGATGTAGGTGAGTGATGTAGATGAGTGATGTAGGTGAGTAATGTAGGTGAGTAATGTAGATGAGTGATGTAGGTGAGTGATGTAGATGAGTGATGTAGGTGAGTGATGTAGATGAGTGATGTAGATGAGTGATGTAGATGAGTGATGTAGATGAGTGATGTAGATGAGTGATGTAGATGAGTGATGTAGGTGAGTGATGTAGGTGAGTGATGTAGATGAGCGATGTAGATGAGTGATGTAGGTGAGTGATGTAGGTGAGTGATGTAGGTGAGTGATGTAGATGAGTGATGTAGGTGAGTGATGTAGGTGAGTGATGTAGATGAGTGATGAGTGATCTAGATGAGTGATGTAGATGAGTGATGTAGATGAGTGATGAGTGATCTAGATGAGTGATGTAGATGAGTGATGTAGATGAGTGATGTAGATGAGTGATGTAGGTGAGTGATGTAGATGAGTGATGTAGATGAGTGATGTAGGTGAGTGATGTAGATGAGTGATGTAGATGAGTGATGTAGATGAGAGATGTAGGTGAGTGATGTAGATGAGTGATGTAGATGAGTGATGTAGATGAGTGATGTAGATGAGTGATGTAGATAGGTGAGTGATGTAGGTGAGTGATGTAGGTGAGTGATGTAGATGAGTGATGTAGATGAGTGATGTAGATGAGTGATGTAGATGAGTGATGTAGATGAGTGATGTAGATGAGTGATGTAGGTGAGTGATGTAGATGAGTGATGTAGATGAGTGATGTAGATGAGTGATGTGATGTAGGTGAGTGATGTAGATGAGTGATGTAGATGAGTGATGTAGATGAGTGATGTAGATGAGTGATGTAGATGAGTGATGTAGATGAGTGATGTGATGTAGGTGAGTGATGTAGGTGAGTGATGTAGATGAGTGATGTAGATGAGTGATGTAGATGAGTGATGTAGATGAGTGATGTAGATGAGTGATGTAGATGAGTGATGTAGGTGAGTGATGTAGATGAGTGATGTAGATGAGTGATGTAGATGAGTGATGTAGATGAGTGATGTGATGTAGGTGAGTGATGTAGATGAGTGATGTAGATGAGTGATGTAGATGAGTGATGTAGATGAGTGATGTAGATGAGTGATGTGATGTAGGTGAGTGATGTAGGTGAGTGATGTAGATGAGTGATGTAGATGAGTGATGTAGATGAGTGATGTAGATGAGTGATGTAGATGAGTGATGTAGATGAGTGATGTAGGTGAGTGATGTAGGTGAGTGATGTAGATGAGTGATGTAGATGAGTGATGTAGATGAGTGATGTAGATGAGTGATGTAGATGAGTGATGTAGGTGAGTGATGTAGGTGAGTGATGTAGATGAGTGATGTAGATGAGTGATGTAGATGAGTGATGTAGATGAGTGATGTAGATGAGTGATGTGATGTAGGTGAGTGATGTAGGTGAGTGATGTAGATGAGTGATGTAGATGAGTGATGTAGATGAGTGATGTAGGTGAGTGATGTAGATGAGTGATGTAGATGAGTGATGTAGATGAGTGATGTAGATGAGTGATGTAGATGAGTGATGTGATGTA